TTGCATCTGAGTTCATCAAAGAGATTGGCCTGTAGTTCTCTTTTGTGGTTGGATCTTTTTCTGATTTTAGAATCAGGGTAATGCCTACTCCCACAAATGACTTTCAGAGTACTGTTTCCCTTTCAATTTCATTAAAGAGTTTGAGGAGTATTGGTGTTAGATCTTCTCTAAAGCTCTTGAAAATTTGGCAGTGAATCTGTCAATACCTAGGCTTTTCTTAGTTGGCTGTTTTATTATTAATTATTATTATTATTATTCAGTGATTTTACTGGATTATTGGGGTTTTTATATCTTCTTGCTTCAGCTTTGGGAGTTCATTTGTATCTAGGAATTCATCCATTTCTTCTGAATTTTCCATTTTATTAGAGTAAGGTTCTCAGAGTAGCTAATGATAATCTGGATTTCAGCAGAATCCCTTGTGATTACACCTTTTTCATTTCTAATTGCAAAGATTGGGATCTTTTCTTGTTTTGGTAGGATTGGCTAAGGGTTTGTCTATTTTGTTTAATCTTTCAAAGAACCAAACCGTAAATTCATTGATTCTTTGTACTGTATTTTTTTTAGTCTGAATTTCATTAATTTCTGCTCTGATCTTTATAATTTCCTTCTTCTTTCTACCTTTAGGTTTGATTTAATCTTATTTTTCTAGGACCTTGAAGTACATCATTAGATTATTTACTTGAGCTCACTGTTTTTCTGATGTGGAAATTCACCACTAGGACTGCTTTCATTATGTCCCATAGGTTCTGGTATGTTGTACTGGCATTATTGTTTGATTGTATAAACTGTCTAATTTCTTCTTTAATTTCATCTGTGACCCATTGCTTATTCAGATTTAATTGCCTTGTGTTTGTGTATTTTTTGCCATTGATTTCTACATTTCATTGCACTATGATCCAGCAAGCCAGGAGCCAGGAAGAAAATGCACATTGCCCATTCTTTTTCCACATGTGTTCTGTCCCTCCACTTTCTCTGAGCTTCCAGTTTTTCTGTCAGATCCTTCCTGGGTCCCAGGGATCCACCTCCCTCCTTCTTCCCTAAGTTTTATTTTCCATTGTCTGGATTCTGAATCTTGGAGAAGCTGAGTTGTTCAGAATAAGTAAATTTTAATGGGTAAAGGCAAGAAAAGTTTGAAAGATTAAATTCTAGGCACAGAATAGCATATGCAAAGGCATAGACAATTGAGAATAGAACTCAGGGTAAGAACTGTAGTTGCTCAGACATGGATAAAACAGAATGTGAGGAAATAATGGGTGGAAGCTGGAACTGAAGGGTCTTATTATTGAGGAGAGTTTGGTGGGCAGATTGAAGGGCAGTTGGGAGCAACTGAAAGACTGAAGCTGGGGTGTTATTATATGAATAATAAACCACATTCTAGAAATTACACTGACAGCATTATAAGGTGGATCAGAGGATGGCAAGACAAAAGCAAAGTTAGGATGCAATTATAGTCATCCAGGGGAAATGTAATATGGGCCAGAATCAGGGTACTGGAACTAGGTGGATGAATGGGAGTTGCCAACAGTGAATCAGACTCACTCAAGGAAGCCTTTAAGCCAGATAGGCCTGGGCAGGGGGTGGGGTAGAAGCATCATCTCTAAGATCTGTATCACAACTGCCAGTACTCTCTTAAAAATAAACATCCTACCAGATTCATTGTGTACCTGCAGAACTCTGAAAGTTTAAATCTTTGGGTAACATTAAAAACTATTTATATCAACTTCATACAATTGAGTATTGCTCTAGAATGTCTTTAATTTTAAAACATAAGAATTCCCTGACCCCTAAATTAATTTGTCTCAACTCCTACATTCTAAATTATCCACACTGTTACAGTCCTTTAGGTCATATTCCATACTATAAGTAGGCTGTATTTAATGACCCCCACTACCTCCCCCATTTGTTTTCTCACTGTGCTGTTATGTACTGACTATACTGGTAACATAGCCCATTACTAACCAATATTATCATTATTAACCAATATTTTATTAAAGCCTAGTTGATTCTTTATGCAACAGTTATTTATAACTAAAAAATGGATATAACTTTCCCCTTTATTAAAGGGATGTGTGTGTATATCTTTAGAAGCAGCATGGGTCTATTAAAGATGATAGTATCTTAGGCCATTTGGGCTATGATAACAAATACCTTAGACTGGATAATTTTTAAACAACAAATTTATTTTTAACAAATTATGTTCCATTACCCTGGTTCTGACCCACATTACATTTCCCCTGGATGTCTGTAATTGGATCCTGACTTTCCTTTTGTCTTGCCACCTTCTAATCCACCTTATGATGCTGTCAGAGCTCAGAAGCCCAAGATCAAGGAACCAGCAGACAACATTCCTCATAAAATAGTGCCATCCCTGTGTCCCTGCATGGCAGGAGGAGTGAATGAACTCTCTCAGGCTTCTTTTATAAGAGCACTAACCCCACTCATGTTGGCAGACCCCTGTGACCTGATCACTTCCTAAAGGCCCCACCTCTTAATATATCACATTGAAGATTCTATTTCAATATATTAATTTCAGAGAGAAATAAACAGACCGCAGCAGATGGGAATGAAGATGGGGAAAAGGATTGCAATAAAATGATAAAAGATGAAGTGAAATATAATGAAATTATACCTACATTTATGATTTATTAAAGTTTTTTAAAAAAATAATAAGGCTAATAAGGGAAAAAATGCTAACACTGTGTTAGGGTGATAGATTCAGAGATGAATTTTCTGAGCTTTTCTATTTTACAGTTTTTTTGTTTTTTTGTTTTTTTAGGAATATTATCTCAAAAAGCTTTAATAAAAAGTCAGTTATTTAAAAAACAAACAACCCACAATATCAACACTCTTATCTCTATGCTTAAAGCAGTGATGTGAACTGAGAAATTTGGTCTTTACTTTTTGGTCCCTTAGAAAAAGTATTCATTAAATATGACTTTGAACTTTCCAGTTGCATACAGAGCCCTCCTGGGCCCAAGCACTGTTCCCTGGTATAGTAGTTCGGTGTTTTTGTTTTCAGTGCTGAGGGTCCTACCCAGGCCTTGTACCCGATAGGCAAGTATCTACCACTGAGCTTCACCTCCCACCTACAGTTTTCTTCTCAGAGACACTCAGTTTTTATAGTATTTACCCTCTGCATTATTTTCTCCTCCTCCTTTTGTGCTATTAAGGTTTGAACCTAGGTCCTTGCACACACTAGCCAAGCACTCTGCAACTGAGCTACACCCCAGCCCTTTTCTGGGACAGGGACTCACTAAGTTGCGCAGGCTGGCCTCACACTTTCAATCCTCTTTCCTCAGCCTCACAAGTAGCTGAGATTACAGGTATGTGCTACCAAGCCCAGCTGTATTTTCTTCTTAAAAGAGGAATAAGATGAACACAATGCAAGTTGTGGATCTTGCATGTTAGGAAGAAACAGTTTCCATAGAAACTCCAGCATGAGGCTCTGTGGTACCTCCTGACCTAGTCACTTCTGCTCTCTCTTCCTCCTCTCTTTCTGTGATTACTACAGCATCTACCTCAGCTATCTCTTCAACCATGGCAAAATCAACTCCATTGGGCTGTTATCAGGCCATGGCCTCCAGCCTAAGGCAGTACTGTTCTGCTTCCTGCTCTTTCTTTAGGAGCTGGTGCCGGTATTCCTGGTCTCTTTGATTGGCCTCCTGGAGTTGCTGCTGTAGTAACTCTCTTTCACTGCCCTCCTTACTCTCCTCCACACTATTTGTCATTGCTTCCATCCTTGGTTTCTTTGTCAATGGTAACTTCTCTGCTTCTTCCTCTTCCTCCTCAATCATAGTTTCCTCTGCAACCTGACCAGCAGGTACAGTTAGAACTTGCTGTCCATCCTGCACAGTTACGATAAGTGGCTGGCCCAGGCCTGCAGTGGGGATGGCGGCTTGGATGTTACCCAGAGGGACCCCATCAGTCACTATGGTGATGACTCTCTGGCCTCCACTCCCCACTGCTTGCTGGATTGATGAGTCAGTAGAATCGCCCCCTGTGATTTCCTCTGGATTGGCTGCAGCTCTGTGTGAGCTGGAGAAGGGGGCAGACACCTCAGCAAGGGCAGCAAGCATGGCCAGCACTGAGGTGGTAGAATTTGAGAACTGGCTGGCTGAGGCATGGGGGTCTCCTGAGGTTGTTTTGGTGCTGGCTGAAGAAACAAGGCTGGCAAGGTTAACCACCTCTCCGGAGGTGAAGATGAGTGGAGCAGCCACTGTCATGGGTTGGTCACAGGGTTGGCTCTCTCGGGGCTGGCAGCAACCTGACTCTGCATTGCTTCCTGGAGGATGACCAAAATCTCAGCGTTGTTTTTCTCTGGGGCTATGTCAAAGGCCGATTTATCAAACTTGCTGAAAGCGTGAACGTCAGCCCCGTACTTGATAAACAACTCAACAACGTCCTGATGGTGGTGCTCTGTGGCCCAGTGCAAAGCTGTCATCTTCAGCATGTCCTTGGCATTCACATCAGCACCATTCCTAACAAGCAGCTCCACGATGTGCGCATGTCCGTCCGCAGCGGCCATGTGCAGAGAGGTCCTGTCCACTTTAGTGTGGGCATCCCTGCTGACACCCCCTCGAAGCAGCACTTCTGCAGTGGAGTAGTGCCCGTGCTGGGCTACAAGGTGCAGTGGGGAGGTTCCGAGCCAGGCTGTGGTGAATGGGGCACCGTTTGCCATCTATGTCCTCACTTCATCATCTTGGCCTTTTCTTGCTGCTTCCAGCAGCCTCTTCCCCAAGTCCACCAGAGACATCTTCATGCATAGGAACAGAGGGTTTCAGGTAGCTCCTCGTCCTGGACGCTGCCCGCTGCGCTTTCACCGAGCCCGCCAGTTTGGTCCTGTTTCCTTCTCTAGGTAAAAGTCCCTGTCAGTGATGGGTACTTTTTTCAAATGTTTTTTAATATAGTTCTGTGGCTGCTTTTTCTGCATTTGACCAGTGATTGTAGCAAATGACCTAACTAATTAGCCTGCAGACAGTAGCACTAAGTAACTTCTCTAGACGGTCTCTTGTTTCCACTTGTTCCTTCAGTGTGTGGACCTGAGCTGTAATGAGCTAAGCGAAGTCACTTTACCAGAAAACCTGCCTCCCAAACTCCAAGAACTTGACCTGACTGGAAACCCCCGCCTTGCCCTTGACCACAAAACATTGGAACTGCTGAAGTAAGTATTTGTTTAAGCTGTTTAGCCCCATCATTGTTCCCTGGCAATGGGATTTATAGCTTAGTGAAAATGTGAAACATAAAAGAAGTATCTGTTGATTTACTGTATTAGCCATATGTATACACTTAATAGGATACAGAATACAAAGGAGAGCATGGAGCAAACAAGGTATAAATTTGGTTTACATAAATCTCAGTAGTTACCAATGGTGTGGCACTTAATGTGTATGTTAAGGAGGAAAGAGTTTGAAAGAGATGGATGATATGAGGAAAGTTAACAAGACTGGGAATGTGGTATAGTTAGATCCTGTTAATGTTTTCTTCATGTTTTAGGAAAGAGTTCATTGAGACTGCTTCATTCTTGATAGTATTGATAAAGAATAAATTTTCAATTTTTTTAGTGTATATTAAGGTAGGAGTCTTGAACACTGACCACTTTAGTCATTGTGTCTACCATACATGCTTATGTAGTGTTGGAGTATGTGTTACTAAAAGTCATCTTTCTTTATCTTAGCAAACAACTAAAAAGTAGAATTTTGTGAATGGTCCATTAATACTGTCTTTGATTAGTGCAAATCAAAACTTGAAGAACACTTAAAGGGGTCAAGTGCTCCTGGTTAGAACTGGCCTAATTAATGCCTATTGGTTGACCTTTCAAGTCAAGTGCTTGACAGAAAAACAGATTTTCATATACAATAGAAGAACACTGCCTAAGCAGACTTCTCTGGGGAAGACATGGGGACCTAAGTTCTCTCTACTGTTGTTCATCAAGTATATGAAACCATAGCCTTAATCCCTCGTTCTGTCCAGACCTCAGTTGTCTCATCATCTGTGAGATGGAAAAGATAGTCTCTTAAGGGACTTTTAAAGTCTGAGAATACATGAATTATTAAAGTATATTCTATCTTCTTGAGTACTTTTTACATCTATAAGAAACTTTCATATTAAAAGGGAATTTTTTTAAAGGCAATTTTATTAAGATTTGTTAAAACTAGAGAAAAGTATTCTTATTTCACAGAAAAATAAATTCTGTCTGTATTGAGTTAGATATATGAAATCAAGTCATTTTTAGAAGTAAGAAATCGTATCAATATATTCACAAGCTAGAAAAGAGAGTACATGTAGATTGGTTTTTATATTAATGTTGTATATATCTATACATAAATTTTAATGTGAACGAACATTCAAATGTCTATTCCAAAAACCTACCAAGAGTAAATCTAAAAGGCAAATGACAAGCTAGGAAAAATCATTGGCAAAAGAAAAGAAAAATTAAGAACATTAATATTCTTACTATAAAATGGTCTTTATTTATAAGTCAGTAAGAAAAGTACTTATTCAAACAGAAAAGGAGCCAAGGACATTGATACTTAACAAAAGAAGTAGAAACAATTAAATGAAAAAATGTTCAAATTTATTAGTATGTCAATAAAATAATAAAATGCTATTCAGATTCACATTTTCCCCTCTCATATTGGTGCTGCAAGAGGAGTATAAACAGTTGAAGCATTTTTAAAAAGCAGCTGGCCATCAGCCAGGTATGTAGTACACACCTGTAATCCCAGCACTCAGAGGCTGAGGTAGGAGGATTTCGAGTTCTAGGCCAGCCTGCATAGCAAGACCCTGTGGCCTGCTATCAACCTTTTAAAAATATTCAAACTTCTTTAGACCAAGGTTCTCTAGAGCAAACATTTGTTTTAAAAAGTAATCAGAAATACGGTGTTCATTTTAAGCATCATAGTCACCAAAATATTTTCATTCATATTTAGAATGAATATAAAGCAACTTGAGAAAATAGTCATGACATAATTGGGAAAAATGCGAAATTGTGTATATGCATACACACACAAGGAGAGAAGACCCTACCAAAAACAAAAATCTGTTTGTATAAGTTTTAACAATGAGAATTTGTTACTGGAGTGACTAAACTGTCCCAAAGGCATTGTGCTCTCAGATTTTAAAAAATGAGTAGCAATCACAGTACTGAAAGTGTTAACTTTTGCTTAACATCCAGAAGGGCGTAGTTCTTAGTAACTCAGGAGAGTCTGGTCGGCCCACTTGTTCTGCAGGAGCTGATATCGAACTCTTTTGTGGGTCTGAGCTCCTGCTCCAAGACTGAGACTTACTTGAAGTTGTCCAAGAGCCAACTGCAGATCCCTTCACATGGCTGCTCAAGCTTGCTAATGCTCAGATAGGCAGAGAAGGAAACACTGGCCCTTCACTACAAAGGATTATTGAGTCCCTCAGGAAACTTGTTGAGATTTTTCCTTTAATGATCAGGTTATAAAATGGATTTATTTCTTCGAAGACTGTGTTCGGCAGAAATGATCATCTTTAGAAATGAGCCTTCATGTTTCCTTAGAATTCAGGAAGGTAGCAAAGATGTAGTGTGAGCCTTAAGGTGCCTCAAGAAATCCTGGCATTGCTCACCATTCTAGATGGATAAAATTTAGTGCCAGTTTATACAGAGAGCAAATAGTGGAAGACTATCTTTTTAATGCCTCTCTTTTATTGATAGGATCAAAAACTTTCAGAAGAGGATTTATAGCCCTACTATAAAATGACCTATTAATTTGATTTGAGGATTTTCTCTTGACCATCTATGATTAACAGTATTATGTTTTTAGCTTTTTAGGATGAGGGAGTGAATATTTGCTAGTAATTGAGAATAGAAACTTTTTCTTCCAAATATTTTAAAATTTCATAGAAATTGCCAGTAGCTACTTCTGCAAAGTGTACTAGTTAAATATCAGCTTACATCTTAGCATTTTAATTGATTCTTAGGAAAAAGATTCCATATTTGTTAAATTTAGAAGTTAATGCCAATAGATAATTTAAATTGTTGGAGTTATGACACAGTATTTAGGTGTTTTAAGTCATGAACTGATGATGTATAGTTTTTCTCCTGTTTAATATGCCAGGTATGGTAATTTACAAGTAGGCAGGATTTATTTTACCATGTGGTATTCATTCTTTCTAGAGATGTACTTCACATCTGTTCTGACTTCCTACTGGGGACACTGAATGCTTTCTTTCTAGTAGGCTTATTTTTAAGAAATCCTATTGGAGAGTTCACCTTTTTCCCTCCTTCTGTTTTTATTTAGGGATCTGATGGACCAGTTTGAGAGCTGAGGGGAGATAAGAACTAAATATCTCAGTTAAATATATGTAGTTAACTTGCAATTAATTAAAATGTCCCCATGTACTTTGTAGTTTTACATGTACATTTTATTTCATGTTAGTATTCTTAGCTTATACAAGTGAGGAAAAAATTGGAAGTTCCATGGAATAGCAAGTCCTCAATAGTCTTTGTTAAATATCTGAAAGGATGATAAAGCCAGAAACTGAATTTGGATATGAATATTGCAGAATATTCTCACCTCATCTAACCACAATATAATTTGTTCTTCTCAGGTCTGAGTGTCCATGATATGAGTACCCCCAACCTAATACTTACATTTTGTTTTCTCATGCCAAGGCTAAAAACTGTTCTTTTCATTCCCAAGAGAAAGCAGCTCTCTAGAATGGAGTGTGGCAGTCTCTAACAGCTGCTTTATAATAGTGGTCATGAGAAGTATTATCATGCTATGTATATATGTGCCTTGGTTTTTATCATGATGAATGACTGGTTCTTTTGCCTGATATTTCAGACATAGTAAATATAATAAGAAATGGTCAATACATACTGCTTAGCAGGTGTTTTGATTTCTCAGTTAAAGGTAGCAATTCACATGTATTTGGTTTTAATGATTCCTATTCCTTGTTTTCTTGTTAGTAACATCCGCTGCTTCAAGATTGATCAGCCTTCATCAGGAGATGCATCTGGAGCCCCAGCTGTATGGAGTCATGGTTACACTGAAGCTTCAGGGATGAAAAACAAGTAAGTTTGATGAAACTGGAGCAAATACTGCCTCCTGCCTTCCTCCCTTTAGTAGCATATAAAATGTGTTATAGTCCACAGTTTTCTCATGTAAAATTTCTTTGAGTATCTTTCCCTAAATGAGACTCCCTCATGACTTGTTTGAACACCAACCTAGGGCCCTGCTTAGCATCACGTACTCTCCTTTTGTGAGAGATGTTGTTAGGATACAATGTATCTGACACATTCTATCTGTCTAAGACTCTAGTGTTTGGAAAAGGCATAAGTATTGAAATGCACCCCTGCTACTTTGAAAAGCCTGTTTATCTTTCTCTGAATCTGTTTACCAAGCAAAACAGGCATAGTATTAAGGGAGAAGTAGCTTTGATTGTCCATATTGATCACTTATGCTAACTATGGAATTATTTTTACAATCTAAATTAGCTTGACAAGAGTTTGATGTTCATTCCTTGTAAGGTCATCTGCTTACCTTGCCATGAGGAAGGATGCATCTTAATTTCTTTTTTCTTTTTCCCCTATTTTACCAGCCTTCAATCTTAGATATAAATGTTGTTTTTGCTGAGAAATATAATCAAGCTTTTCAGGCTTACTGACATTATATGAAGAGGTGCTAGTAATTAGTACTAGGAAAATGAAGAGTCCTGTGAATTAAAGTAGTTATAATTTTATTACCTAAGGTATAAGAACAGAAAGTATTGAGAGTAGGGGAAGGACAGAAAGTGGAAAAAGATCCAGTAATCGCTCACATTAATATTCAACCCTGGCTTCATGTTGAATCAGTTAGGTGAAATTTTTTTAAAAAATACATACATGTATATGTATTCCCCAACCTAGACTCATTGAATCATAATGTTTTAAAATCTTCCTAAGTGATTCTAAAGTATATCCAGGATTGAGAATCATTAATTAGCTAAATAGCCTTCATGGAAAGTAAAAGGTGGAATGATCACTGCCATACCAATTGCTTTTCTTTGGGACAAAAAACAGCATCAACTCCAGTTCTGAAACTGACACACTAATCCTTTCTCTTTGACTTGGCCATGTGTCATCTGGAAGAGAGGTAGACCCCATCTCAACACTTCTCAACATTTGCTCTGCAAAAGCAAAATAAGCAGAGCAGGCTTGCCTTAATTCTGTCTGCCAGGGCTCTAGCTGTTGCCTTATTTCTATGTATCTTGCACTATATGTCATTTGCTAGGGGAATGACTGTATTGTTTAAGGCACTCAAATTTCCTTTCTGGGGCTAATTACTTTTTAGGTCAATGGACCTGTGACATACAAATGCCAGTATGTGAAGCTGCTGATTCCAGAACACTAATGTGAAATATAAGATTGTTTTTAAAATATTTCTGGATATTAAAATTTATTATCCATTCATCTATAAGAATAAGCAAGTAACTAGAGCTGTTTTACTCTGCATGATCCTGCCTTCCATATTTTTCTTTAACTTTCATTATAGTGAAGTATAACAGGTTCAGAAAAGTGCATAAGTGATCATACTATGTTTTGTCCCAAAGTGAACACACACGCAGACCACCACTTGCATAAGGAAATAACAGGTGAACAACACTTTAGAAGTTCCAGCCCACCCTTGATTCTTTCTTTATTTCCTCTGTTTCTTTTTTTTAAGTGTGTTTGGTGGGATTTTTGTTGTTGTCATTTACGTTGTAGATAAAACACCCATTTCAGCAAGCAGTTTGCCATGTCCCACCTTGAAGGAAGGGGAGAACTGTGATACCCCTGTGATACCCATCTCCAAATCTTGTGAGATTTCTGCTCTGTTCCTCTTTCTCTCTCTCTCCCTCTCTCTTTCCCTCCCTCCCTCCCTCCCTTCCTCTTTCTCTCTCCCTCCCTCCCCACCCCCTTTGGGGCAGTAGTGTTGGCTGCCTGTCAGGTTATTTCAAATCCTTTGAGGAAAACCAAACAGGGAGCTGCAGCTGGATAGTTTAGGCTCTGCCTGAGGTCAAAAAACACACAGGGAGCTGTAACAGAAAAGAAATCATAAGAGTGACCACACCATAAATAAGATATAGTTTCCTTTTAAAAGAAAAACTTCACACAACCCCATTCTGATTAGCAAAAGGAGTTTACAGAAGAAAGAATTTTAAGATGATTATAAAAATTTAACTTTGCCACAAATTGCCTTATAATTGGGATGGATTATTTTTCTTAATAAATGAAGGAAGGAATTTCAAAGTATCGACCTGAAAACAAGACTACTTGGCTGAGAATCTGGACTTTATACTTCCTTTCTATGTGACCACAGTCATTTCTTTGGTTTCTCTTCAGCTTAATTTCTTCATCTATAAGATGAGGAAAAATCCTATTGGGTTGTTGTAGCATGAGTTATACTTTTAGCTACTATTATTAGTAGTAGTAATGGTTATTATTATTTATCCCTTAATTCCCTAAAGGCAAAAATTTTATTTTCACGTTTATATGTCTGGTGCCTAGCCATGCTACATAACAGGTGCTAAATATTTCTTTTCTTTGTAATAATTTATACATAACAGGGAATCATTTCTATTCAGTAAAATTACCCCTTTTTAGTATTCATTTCTGCAAAGTGTTTTGTTTTGTTGCAGTACTGGGAATGGAACTCAGGGCCTTCTCACTGAGCTATATCCTCCATCTTTTTCAATTTTTTAATTTTATTTTGAGACCAGGTCATGCTAAGTTACCCAGTCTGGGCTTGAACTTGAGCCTCATGCCTCAGCCTCCCAGTGTGTGCCACCATGGCCAGCTTTTTCACCTTAACTTTTACAACATATTTTTAGTGGTTTAGAAATCTAGGCTGTCAAAATTCTAGTGCATTTGTTTAGGTTTATTTTCCTATCAGTACTTGAAAATGTTGCTCCCCAGCCTTCTGTCTGTTGTGGTCTTGCACCCGTATGCCACCCTCCCTTTTCCTGGATTTTAGCAATTTGATTTTGATGTGCCTCAGTTAAGTATTTTTCACATTTCTCTTGCTGGCAGTTTGGTTGAGCTTTTTGTATCTATAGGTTTATAAAGTTTTCATCAAATTTAAAATTTCAGCCTCTATAGGTTTACAGTTTTCATCAAATTTGAAATTTTAGCCCTAAGTTCTTCTTAAGTTTTCTCTCTCTTCTCTTTTCAAAACTCCAATTCCCTGTGGGTTAGGCTGCTTGATGCTATCCCACTGCTCACTAATGCCCTGGTTCCCTCTCCAGTTCTTTTTTCTCTCTGTTTCATTTTGGATAATTTCTGGGACACAGTTTACTTGGAAACAGTTTGATTCTGAGCTTGAGTGGTGAGACTCTGTCTAAGAACTCTAACCTCCTGGTCCTCCTCCAACAACGGGAGGCCACAGACTCTACCTAGGTCCTCTTCCTGGTGCTGCAGCTTGGGAATTGTTTCCAGAAGTAGGCGGGGCAGACACCACATGCTCTCAAGGGTCTGAATACTGTTTTTTGGGAGGGGGCTTCTTCCACCTTTTAAAAAATTGTTTAAGACTTTCATATATTTTTATATACTTTTCATGTATTTCCTATATTTCTCCAGTGTTTTAGTTGACACTCAGATTTGGAAGTTCTCCTTAGTAATTGTTTTTATTAGATGAACATACAGATAATAATTCATAATATATTATTTCTCATTCCCCCTTTTTCTGCTACTAAAATAAAATGAGAAGGGTGGGGGAGTTATGTGTAAAGCATAATACTTGTTAGTCATTCTCTGCATATAGAAATTGACTGATAAAATTAGCCAGAATCAGTTTACTTATTCTTTGTCTAGCGTCATGAAGAAACTGGAATAGGCAAATCTGGGGTGGGGGGTGGAGCTGGGTGTGGGAAAGGAAAGGTGAATAGACTCAGCACAAAATGTTGTTCCTTTTCAGGTTGTGTGTTGCAGCTCTGTCTGTGAATAACTTCTGTGACAACCGAGAGGCCCTGTATGGAGTATTTGATGGAGACCGGAATGTGGAAGTGCCTTACCTTCTGCAGTGTACCATGAGTGACATTTTGGCCGAAGAGCTGCAGAAAACTAAAAATGAAGAAGAATACATGGTCAATACGTTCATTGTTATGCAAAGGTAAAACTTTAAGTCCCTGCTGTGCGTTTTCTTGCTCTTCTGCAAGTGTTTTCCCTCTGGTTAGAAAATTAGGTGTCTAATCATGTCAGTGCACTAGTTTTGACTATGGGTGCTCAAGACACATTTCCAGTTTAGTGCAGCCCAAACATCAAGGATGGGCTACCCACTGGTTGGAGACATACTAATGTTCAGACACCTTTGTAGGTCCAAAGTCTGACTGGAATTTAGTTTCTCAGACATCTGAACCTCACGGGACTGTACCAATTCCAGATTTTCATTGTTTACAACACCCACTCTTCTCTAAATCACATGAGATCCACAAGCTCTTTAGATCTGGTGGTATGTGGACTTCTCTAGAAATGGACCATTTTCAACCCACTGTGTTAACCTTTAGGAAACACTCACTGGTTTTAAGGTAGTATAAACCTTTGTGAAATTGAAGTAGGTAGTCAGATTTTAGGCCAGGAGTTAAAATATTGTTTATATGTTGTTTTTCCCCTGTATTCAATGTTCAAGGCAATGTTACTAGCAGAATTCTAGGCCATTGCCTGGCATTTCCACCTGCAACAGTACTTTAGATCACTGCAAAAATTGTGGAATGTTCTTTGGACTCTTAGGACTAAATTTTGTAAGGACTCCCTCATTAAAAAAATTGCTGATTTTTTTTTTGTTGTTACCTTAAGAGCTTTGTGGGTTGTAAAGGAATTGCCAGTGTATAAATATCACACTGTAGACTTTGCTTTTGTGGGACCCAGAATGACAAGTCTCTTAGTGCTCTAGAGGTCGTGGCAATAGTGATAATCTTTTCTCTTTTTCTACTTCTTCTCTTTCTGAATAATCCGCCAAAGGAAATAACTTTTAACCAGAGTAGACAACATCTGTTATGGAATGTGTGCTGAGCCATGAATAGTTCCTCTTGTGGAGCCCCATGCAGGAGGTCTGGTATGGTTCCTTGCTGCCCAGTTCAGCACTGTGTGTCAGATTCCTAGTGGGCACAGTTAGCAGTTAAACAATGGTAAGAGGTAATACTTAGCGAGACAGCCCTTCATATACACAGTCATTGTTCTAAATACCAGACATGTCATAAATTTTTCCCAGTGAGATAGATATTACTGTTCTTATTTTATTGATGAAATGCAGAGAGATGAAACAGAATCCCTGAAGAGCAGCAAGTGGTGCACCCAGGATTTGTCCATGAGCAGTAAGGCTCTGGAGGATGTTCTGATACCAGGCCCAGCAACTTTTCTATTTTTACCACTACCTTGTCCTAGGAAAAAAACACATATCAGACACACACATGCATGCACATCACACTACACACACACCCTTCAGAACACCCAAGTGGATAAGAATTAAAAACCAATACCCTCATACTCGGATTACTGGCTGTACTTTTCACAAATCTTTTTGTCTTTGAGGAAGAAAATAGAGCTGCCTTGGAAGGGCTTAAGGCCAAACAAATCTAGTTATAAGTGTCTGGAAGTTGGAATTTAGATTCCTGAATTATAGCCCCATTTCCAGGGTCCTTTGTGTCCCTCTTATTTTTTCTGTTAATAGGTTGCAGGACTGTGGTGGATTTTTTTGGTCCTTTAGGGGAATTGTATGGTCTTTGTACCTGATCTTCTAATGCATGTGGGTAGGCAAACCTTGTTTCTGTTGCTTCTATTACCCATTGCTTAACTTATGTACATGAGAGGAGCTGATGTCCTCCTGATTACCTGAGAGTTTGCCCTCTTGAATTAGGGGCTGTTTTTCTTAACCCTGTTATTTTAGTATCACTCAGAAACAGCAGGATTCTTGGAAGAATTACCACTGGTGAAGCTTATGACTAGAGTTCTTTGCTCCTTCTGATTGTCAGAATATTCGGGTGCTTCATGTATTCAATAAGTCTATGGATTAATGGTCGTGAATAAAAGGATGAATCATAAGCACTTGGGGCTTGATTCCCACAATGTCCTATCTGTGTGATTTCTAGAATAAATGGTGCTGGTCCAGAAAGTCTTGGAACAGGGCAAAATAGGAGCAGTCCAATACTTAAGACCCATACAGTGAGCATCCATCAGAAGGGCCTGCGCATGGGTATCATGTATTCATACCTGCCCTGATTCAAGTGGTTCCTCCAGTTTTTCTCTACTGGAAACAGGGGATTTAGAAAAATTAGATGCAGAAAGGTGTAATTTCCTGCTGGCCTTGGCATGTGCTGCTAGGGCAGTATGATTGACCTGAGGTGCCAGGTTGAACCCAGAAGTCCAAGGGCTCCTTCATTCCAGGCCAGCTATTATGCTCTGAATGGAAAAGTGACACATTCTCCCAGTTGGTGGCAGATACGTCTCTATTGGATGTGTGTGATGTCAGGTTCTGGGAGCTCTGTTTCTCTGAGAAGAATGTTGTGTGCTTTGGTCGAAAGGGTATCAGTAGAGACCTTGTGTTCTGTCTCACACCTGGCCCTAGCCATTGGTGAATTAAAAAAACAAGTTCTTGCTGAATTAACAAAACAAATTTTCACCCCCCTCTCTCGGACTCTAGAAAACTTGGAACTGCTGGACAGAAACTTGGAGGTGCTGCTGTCCTTTGTCACATCAAACATGACCCTGTGGACCCAGGAGGATCCTTTACCTTGACCTCTGCTAATGTTGGCAAGTGCCAAACGGTTCTCTGTCGAAATGGGAAGCCGCTGCCTCTGTCCAGATCATATGTCATGAGCTGTGAAGAAGAGCTGAAGAGAATTAAGCAGCACAAGGCCATTATCACTGAGGTAAGGAGAAGGGGGGTTTTCCTCAAGATGGTGGGGAGGAGCAGCTAGGTCAGTGGTAGTGAACCTATGGCATGCATGCTGCAACAGACTGATTATATCATTGAAAGCTCTAAAAGGTTCACCATCATGGAGCTAGGTCATGGGTAGCAACCAGTTAGGCAATATTTGCTTTCACACGACATTTTTGAAGCTGGTTTAAAAGTTGGAATCCCAAATCCATAGTGTCACAAGATAAATTCATTGTATATTTCCAGAGATATTGTAACATACGAAATAACAAAACATTTATGGACATTATCCCATTTGATCTTCATAGCCAGTCTACAAAGGCATGGTTAGGTGGTTGAGAACTGAAATCACTCTGAAATCACGCTGCTGGTTTTCCTATCTCAGCTCTTGCCACTTTATACCTTTGTAACCCTAGGTTTTGTCATCTGTAAAGTGAGAATAGTAGGGTATCTAGTCTGTCTTACAAGGCTAGTATGACTTGTAAACTCTATGTAAATGTAACTAGTTGTTATTTTGGTTCAAGTTTCATGTTCCATTTGAATTATGCTCCATTTGAGTAATGCAGGTCTCATCTGGGACTAGTTTTCACTGTGCCGGGGAGGAGAGTTTGAGAAATTTTTTGTCGTCATCATTAGTGGATGGATAGTACTATTGGCACATAGTGGGCAGAGTCTAGGGATGCTGCAAAGCATCTGTCTTCAGGACAGTCCCCTGACAAAACACTTGTCTGGCCCCAAAGTGGCAACAGTGCTCCTGTTGAGAAACCCTGAACTAAATCTATTCTTTCCCAGTGAGATGTCCAAAATAGGCTCTTCTTCTTCAGCAGTTCTTCTGCTCCGTTTACTACTTCACCATACAGAGTCACTACCATTTGCCTAGAAGATGATTTGGGGGTACAGCAGTGATGCCCACAGATACACATCCACCGACAAAGAGGTGTCCAGTCTTCTGTTGTTGATAAAACTCATAGAACCATGTGAGATTTGAGGCAGGCTAATGCTGTAAAAGTTCATAGCTCAGTAGAGAAAGAGACAGATTCCAGATAGGCTTTTTTTAAGGGCCAGAGAAAGACACAGAAAGATTCAAGTACACTATGGGTTTCTGTGGAAATGAGTTTGTGTAAATTTAGTTGTGTGTCTAATCTAGGAACAGAGTGGATTAAAATGGATGATCAGTACTACGTTAGGGAGCAAGGTGAAAGGTTGTACAGGATGTATTGAATTAAATGCTCAACATTATACCAAACATGATTCAGAGGTTAGGGATTTCTGCTGCATGAATGAATGTTTGCAGGTCACCCTTTGTTTCTTTTTTCTGGGCTACTCTTTTCCTCATGTTTGTCTACATTGCAGAATGCACAGTAGTGAGTGTTTTTGGGTTTGAGTTTGGGGTTTTTTGTCTTTTTGTACTCCTCAATACACAAAACTATTTGTTCTGATGGGTAGTAATTTAAAGGGTAGGCAGAACAGCACATAAATTTTTGCAGAATTCTATACTTGGAGGAGAAATGAATTCACTCGAATCAAGGGAGTTTACAATTGTGCTTGAAGCTGTTTTGCTAGTTTTACTTCTAAGAATGCCACCTACTTGTGAGGGTGGCATGGCAAGGTTGTATGAGGAGTTGGGGAGAAAGCACCCCAAAGACAAGTAAACAGCTTGCAAAGCCCAAACAAGGCAGGTGGTAGGGTTGGGAAAGAAGAGAATATTCTATGAAGAAACACTTGCTCATCCTAGACACACACAAAAGCTGCATTCGTCCTCATAGGAACTTCAGTGGAAAGCGGTGTTAAAACTAGGACCATGAAGAGGCCTGGCAAACTGGGACATGGGCCTGAGAACCTCAAAGTTGAAAGAGAACTGAGATGAAAGAGATACGTGGAGTTAAAAAAAAATGTAAAGGTCTTTTTGTTGGCAAATGGTCTAGAACTTTGGCTGTTGATTTAAATGGCATGAGCCCAGCTGAATTAAATCCTGGAGACTTTGCCATCCCCGTGTGCCAACAGAAAGTCGGGTTCAGGGAAATCTTAAGAATTGGTACTTCTTTAGCATCTGCCTCTACAAACATAAGCATTCTGACCCAGCAAGTCACACCATATTTTCTCCACCGGTTAAGTATATTCAGTGTCTGTCCTTTCTCCTGGGCCTTCGGATACCCTTGACACATGTGCTCAGTGTCCCAGGGGAGAGGAACATAAGGTTAAAATGTCCCTGTCATGGGTACATTTCTTAGGGTTACCTTATCTCACAAAGGCTCTTCTGTCTTTGGAGGAGCTAGTGACCATGCTTGCATGTGAGGCTATGACAGCCTGCCTTGGACATGACAGGTCTTGTCACCTAGGTGAACATAACCCTATTGAAGGAAATAGCTGACATACCTTCTTTTTGTCCCTGATGCTCCTTTCCTACCTGGGCCTGCACATTAACCACTCGATAGAGGGTAAGCAGTTTTTCCCTTTGTTGGCCACACAGCACTTTCCCTGTGGTCCTACAGTTGGGGGACCCTGAGGAAGTGGCACAGTTGCCAGTTGTTTTCTGTACTCACTATCTTTGGAAACCCTTTTTCCTCCAGGATGGCAAGGTGAATGGAGTGACTGAGTCCACACGCATCCTGGGCTACACCTTCCTCCACCCCAGTGTGGTACCTCGCCCCCATGTGCAGTCCGTGCTCCTGACTCCCCAGGATGAGTTCTTCATCCTGGGCAGTAAGGGGTTATGGGACAGCTTGTCCATCGAGGAGGCTGTGGAGGCTGTGCGCAATGTGCCTGATGCCCTGGCTGCTGCCAAGAAGCTGTGCACCCTGGCCCAGAGCTACGGCTGCCATGATAGCATCAGTGCTGTGGTCGTACAGCTCAGCGTCACCGAGGACAGCTTCTGTTGCTGTGAGCTCAGTACTGGTGGGAGTGTCCCACCACCCAGCCCAGGCATCTTCCCTCCCTCGGTCAACATGGTGATCAAGGATCGGCCCTCTGATGGGCTGGGTGTGCCATCCTCCAGCAGCGGCATGGCGTCTGAGATCAGTAGTGAGCTCTCCACTTCGGAGATGAGTAGTGAGGTAGGGTCAACAGCCTCTGATGAGCCCCCACCTGGAGCCCTGAATGAGAGCAGCTCTGCCTATCCAAGTGAGCAACGCTGCACGCTCCACCCTATCTGTCTGTCCAACTCCTTTCAGCGCCAGCTGTCCAGCGCCACTTTCTCCAGCGCCTTCTCAGACAATGGTCTTGACAGTGATGATGAAGAACCAATTGAGGGTGTCTTCACCAATGGCAGCCGGGTGGAAGTGGAGGTAGACATCCACTGTATTCGGGCCAAGGAGAAGGAGAAGCAGCAGCACCTGCTGCAGGTGCCAGCTGAGGCCAGTGATGAAGGGATTGTCATCAGCGCCAACGAGGATGAGCCAGGTCTTCCCAGGAAGGCGGACTTTTCTTCTGTGGGAACCATTGGGCGCCGCAGGGCTAATGGCTCTGTAGCACCCCAGGAAAGGAGCCACAATGTGATTGAGGTCGCTGCAGATGCCCCTCTTCGGAAGTCTGGGGGTTATTTTGCTGCCCCAGCTCAACCGGATCCTGATGATCAGTTTATCATACCCCCAGAGCTGGAAGAGGAAGTCAAAGAGATCATGAAACATCACCAGGAGCAGCAGCAGCAGCCACCACAGATACAGCAGCAGCCACTACAGCGGCAGTTTCAGATGGACCAGCTGCCAGACTATTACGATACACCACTATGACCCAGTCTGAGTACTGTTTTAAAAAATAAACTAACCCAGAAAGACTGAGTTGTAAGAGTCTCCCAGGCTCACATTAAACCAGGGGTTTTACTCCATGTCCTTCTCCCACATACTGTCCCCAACCTATCTTTTCAGCTAATCTGTAGGTTCTCTTTCTGTTGGTTATTTTTTAAATAATTACCACTTTTCTTCTAGTGATGCTTTACCAATATGATTTAAATTTGTTAGCTTCTTTCCCTAACATATCAGATGTGTAAAGACAAAGAACAAAAGGTTTAATATATTACAGAGAAATGGTTAATGATAATGTAATATTTTTTAAAATGGGTTTTTGTTTTGTTTGTTTGGAAGGCAGGGCAAGTTGCCATTGCTAAGTGATTTAATAATATAATTCTCTTTCTTGGGGGGGGGGTGCTTTTTTGTCTTGAAAATGATAGACATTTGTAGAATATGGAGACTAACTCCTAGGAGTTGCTTTACTCTGTCAGGTGACTTAAGTCACTGGGATTCACTAATTTTCTCTGAGAGAACAGTTGATTGAGAAATTTCTGTTGTAAATAGCTCAGTGTTATATAGTGATGCTTAAAATGTTTTGTAGTATTGGCATAAGGACACAGCCTACATAACTGACTTTTCCTTCCCTTCTGATGAGCCTTCCCTACCCATCCCCAGCCCCAGCTCACCTTCCAGGTGGAGGCCGGGCAGCCAGCACATTGCTATTCAGATGAGGCAGCTCTGAGGCCACTGGATGAGAGCTTGCACTGAGGGGCCCGGAACCAGTTTCTTTCCTCTCCTGGCCCCATTCTCTTGACTTTTGCAGACACTTTTTAACTGTGTTCCTTACTGCTGCCACAATCAGCATGACTGTATAGCGTTCCATTAGACCATTTACATACCCAGAGTTATATTAAAGCAGAATGCACAAATGGACATGTCATAATTTTGTTATAATAAATATGAAATTTACAAGTATTGGGCCCATCTGCTTTTATCTCAGCAACCAGGTGTGTCTCAGATGATCATACCAGCCTGGGTGTGGAACAAATGGATGGGGTGTTGGGATTATCAAACATTACTGATGTGGATTTCTTAAAGGGAGTACACCCAACAAGTTAAACTACAGTGAATGAGGTAGTGAAATTTACTTTTCGGCTAGCAGTATGAATAGGTGGTCTTATGCCTTTCCATTTCTTTTTATTGTGAGATAAAGAAGATGTTAACAGGGGAATAGGTAGAGGTTGCATACAGAAGATCCTTGGAAAGCGTCTACTCCCACAAAGCCAAGTTTGTTTTCAGTTCTTCCAAGAGCCCCCAGATCACATGAACAGGTCAGTATGTATCCTTATGGAAACAGTGAAAATCAAGAATTGGTTGGCTCACTCTCTACTGCTAGCAGAAATAATGTCAGCACAGGTGTGTCCCAAGGAGTCCGACGTTCCTCGCTGTCCCAGAAGGCACAGTTACAGACTGGGAGCCTTCCCCTCCACCCCATGTCCTTACCCTGCACTGTAAGTTCACAGTGTGTGGAAGAGACTGTTTGCTTCCCTGTCTCTCACAGACCAGTTTCCTATGTCTACCTATCTCCCTCCAAGGCTGAGGGAGTACCCAGTAAGTTCACAGTGAAGAGGCAGTTAATGTTTCTTAGCTTGCAGACTTGTAGTGAACTCTCTGTCCCTCACTAGGTGGCCCATGGGCTGGCTTCATCTTGGTAATAACTTCATTTCTGTGTTGACCTACTTGTGCACCATTCCCTCTGAAAACCAGAATCAGCTCATTTCAGGCCAGTGACCCAGGGAGCTAGATTTTCCAAGAGTAGGCAGAGCTCTGCCTGAGGCTGGAAGCTGGGCCATCTTGGGTCCCCAGCCCCAGCCTCAGCTTCACTGTCCAGCCACCACCTTCCTCAGTCTTTGCCCTACTCCATGTGGTGCAGAATGGATGTGTAGGGCTCTGGGTTTTCGCACTAGAGCTTTATTCCCTGTAGCACATCTGGACTGATTGATTTCCTCAACTCTTGAATCCTCTCTAGGCAAGGTTCACCTGACCACTGTTTTTGAAACATGGTGTACCTCAACGTCCTGAGTAGCTGGAATTACAGGCATGGATCACCACACCCAGCTATACCTATAATGTTTGTTAAAGTGATTCTTCTACTACTGCTCACTTTCAGAGGGATCAGAAGCTGCTGGATGTGGTCAGGTGAACCAGCAAGTACTTCAGAATTCCATGACAAGTCCCACAACCACTCCCGGGTCAACACTGCCAACAGCAGCTACCGGGACCAGCAAGATCTCATATGCAGACTTATCTCCTGACTTCTATAGCTGACGAGGGAGGAAGGAACAGGACCTGGAGTTGGTATTTTCATGAGTCCCCCATGCAAGTCAGCACTTGCCTCTTTGTCACTGTATCATCGAGCACATTGTGCACGTACCACTACAAGGTACTGTGCAGATAAAGGGTAAGACAATGCGTTGAGAACTTGGAATGTATTGGACATGGAGATGAAAAGATAATTCTGTTGAGTGACAGAATTAGAGGTAATGACATACTAGGTCTCTATGCTCTTGCAGAGAAACCTCTCCAATTTCTGAGGAGGTTTTAAATTTTCTGTTCAAGATAACATCTAATAGTATGTGCAGAACTGTCTATAAAACCATGATCCTGTCTCAAAATAAGAAAAGTGACTGGGGATTATAGCTCAGTGCAGTGCCCCTGGTTCAGTCCCCAATACTGGGAAATAATATATTCATTCATTCTCAATCTCTCTCTCTCTCTCTCTCTCTCTCTTCCCCCCCCCCCTTCCTCTTCTCTCTGGATTTTGAATATTAAAGTGCTTCATATTTGAAGATCTCTGAAACCTTGGTGTCTAGAAGATATTAAGGAGAAAGGCTTCTCTTCCTGCTATATTCCCTGCCTCCTGGACTTACTGGGAAAGGGTTTGAGGGAGGAAAAAGAGGTTGAAGCAGAAGCTTAGGCTGCTCTAGTGAGGCTTACAAACTAGTAGAAAGCCTAATTGAAGATTCTAGAAACTGGTTTGTGATGGATCAACCACGTGCTGCCATGTGCATGCCCTCAAGCCTCCTGCCTTTGTCCATTGCTCAGAATAATAATGACTCCTGAAGAGCTGGAAGCCCCAATCTCTGGGGCCAGAAACCCGGCCTGCCTGATCTGGTTTCTCTTGATTACTTTTGTCACAGCGCCACCTGCTGGTAGATTTAGCCTTTGTCTGGAACTGGGCGCAATTTCTTAAACCTTCCTTCACTCTCCAAGAGACAAAGTTTGTATTTCTTACTGTTCTTGTCGACTCATCATAGCAATCCAGACCACTATTAAGTGTAGCAGAGGTGCTATATTAAAGGTTTCTGCTTTTTACAGTGTGTAGTTGATTATTTCTAATTCCCATAATGAGCTCTGTTTCCTATGGGAAATTAGCATGCAAAAATACCAAGAGGTATAACCAGAGTCATAAAAAGTCTATTTCCAACATCCATCCAACTCCCATCGCCTAGTTTCCCATTCCCCGTGGTTGAAAAGAACAAAAAAAGCAAACATCATATGCTTTGAACTTTATAGATTAACATCTAATAACATCACTACTGGCACTGCCCAGCCGAGAGAATAATTCCCATTTGATTATGCTGACTCTCCTGTGAACACTTATCAAAGGGCTTTTGAATTCATTCTCAACACACATCAGAAGACAATACTTTTCCCAGCAATCAAATCAGGTAATGTATTTGGAGTAATTCCTAAGTACTAACCCCTTATTTACATGTAAGAACTGTTGTCCTTGTAAATGAAGAGCTGAGGATGGTTGGAAAATAATTGAGAGTACAGCAAATGGAAAACTCAGGAATAGCCATTGGAGGAAAAGATAAGGTGCTGGTAGAAAGCATGCTTTCCTCACTTCTTGTTATTGAATTTCATTTTTTTCTTTCAACTCTTCTCCCTAACTTACATTTTGCACAAAAGAATCTAGGCAAACTTTGCTTTCATTATTGTTGATTTGTCACAAGCTGATTCTTACTGCTGTGTATTTGAATGATGGTTCTAGGGTATTTTTATCTAACCCTCACCCCTTTCAATACCAAAACTGGAACAAAGTTCAGACTTGCTTTGGCTCTGATCAGTCACTGAAAGTGGGAACTGTACCTAGCAAGCGGAGCTCAGGCTGGTGATAGAAGGTCGCTCCCACCTGATTCATCTCACCCACCTGATCCAACACATCACTCCTTCAGGAAGCACATGTGTGGACCTGCAACACCTCGCTTGGGTGTGAAGGTGTCTCTGCTGACCTTGAAGGTCTGAGCCTCCATGAAGATGGACTGCAGGCCCACTCAAGTGTCAGAAGCCAGAAAGGAGCCTCTGCAGATTTTCCCGTCCCTCATAGATTGAGCATTTGTCAGGGGAAATGTGTAGATGGTCCCTGAGGCTGCATTGCATGATGTAGGCTGGGTGGTAAAGTGCAGCCCCGCTCTCCCCTGCCTTGAATTTACCCATAAACAAGCACTGCATTTATTGTGCTTCGGCTCATTAGTCCCTTCATTTTATTCTAAATCGGCACACAGCATTCTACCTTGTTAAAAGGGGGAAGCAACAGAACACTTGGGGAATTTTCTTCCATCTGCTTATGACTAGAATTACTCTTGTTGTCATTTCTCTCATTTTCTCAGGACATGCAAGTAATACTGGCTTCACTCTGAAATCACTTTATAGTCATTGCCACTTCTTTGGTTTTATTCCAGTACACTTGTACTTTCTCGTAATGACCTCTCCTACCTATTGGAAGGAAGTTGAAATGGTATCTAAGATGGTTTTGTCAAAGGTTACACTTTGTCCAGATCTTGATTTTCCTTAAGTCTTTAACAAAACCCCTCCCCAAATAACATTTGGAGGTTTTTAAATCAATTTCCTCTTAATAGAAATTTCCCTGTAAGACAAGAATAACTCAAGCACACAAAATTAACATATTTTGTTTTATGATCTATAATATTTTTAACAAACTATTTCTAGGGCCTCTTGGTAGGTTAAAAGTAGCTCATTTAAATGCATGCTGCATCCCGCATGCCTCAGCACAGGAAGCCACACTTCCTCGGGAGCAGCAACCTGTTAAAACTGCCACCTTTCTCAGGTGGGTTTGAGTTTTTGTCCCTAAAAAATTCTTTAGGCATGTGTTACAATGTTGCCTGTGTGTAGTGTACACATAATTTTCATGAAACTTTTGTGAGTCCTCTAGTCTTAAAAGGTAATTTCTGTTGTTCTGTTTCTTGAATTTTGTTTGTATGTTGAATTTGTATGTTGAATTTTGTCCTGGCTCCTCATCTATTCCTGACATATATTCCAGGGGTGATATGGTGTGCTGGGAAGGAAAGGGCAACAGATGGTGATAGTGAAGCCTACCAGTCTGACCAGAGGACTGCTTTTCCCACCATTTCATCCCAGTCTGAGCAACACAGGGCAGACACAATCTCAGGCGTTCACCTAACCCTGCTTCCAGGCAGAATCCAGACTACATTGTTTTGCTGCATGGCTTTTGTTTCTTCCTGCCAGGGCTCCGAAGTAGAGGCTCTGACCCCCTTCACAAACCGCCAGGCACCTGTATGGACTGGCCGGGCACCCAATCTGTTCTGAGTCCCCACAGCAGGAGCAGGAGTGGGCGGAGTGCATGAAGAAGAGCCCAAAGATGAACACTGAACCCTGGCTTTGAAATTCTGCCGGAGAAACACATACAACTGAAGAATACAATGAAGTGAGGGAATGGGGCAGAAGAAGGGTCAGACTCACCCAGTCTGAGACAGCAAGTGGGCACCCACAATTTCAAACTGTCTCGAAGTCCCAGCCCTGCAGTGTGGCCAGGGAGAGCAGGGTGCTGTGTGAGGTCCTGGCTGTTGCCTGTGGGTTCTTCACACTCTTCTGTGACCTCCCACCTGCACTGAAGGAAGAGGGACAAAAACTTCGACATAGCATAAAAGCCCCC